TTGACGGATTGATTTACTGACTCATTGATTGATTGATTGATTGAAAGCAAGGCCTTAGTTTGTGATTTCACCGGCAAGTGGCGAAAATTGGAGAAAAACAGGTCGGAAAATGCGTGAAAAATGTCGGACCAAATTGTTCGATCAGCTTCAAACAGACTTTCAAATATCTATAATATTCAAGTTAAATATCTTTATGAAAAGTGATTCACAGATTGGTAAAATCCAATCGGGCTGAAAGCGGGCTTCAAAATTATGAGAAAATACGGAAATACGATCGGGAAATTGCGTTTTACACGTAACTATTGACAGATGCAAAATATCGTCTATATATTTTATATTTATACGTTTGGGATTTATTTTTTATGAATTTTTACAATCATGTTAGGCACATTTGGTCGACATTTAGGTATTTACTAAAAAGATCATTTCTGAATCACCCAGAATAACGGTTTAAATAAACAAACTCAAATCCAACTGAATCAATATTTGTTCAAAAATTGTTTAAAGCTCTGTTTTGGGTTTGAAAAACGATTTGATCAATGACATATTTGAGCAACATTTATATATATGTAGACGCATTTCTCTGCGCAGTTGAGATAAGGTTGAGGTTAGGAGGTTAGGTTTGAAGATTTCTTCAAGTACGTTAAGTTTTCTTTGAGGTTAAGTCAGTTTAACATAATTGAATTAGTTACCATTATGTTTTTAGTTTAGTTTCTTAAAGGTTAGGTTGAACGTAAGACTAGATTAATGAGAAAAAATTGTATTTTATATATAGAAAACGAAAGATTCCAGTTTCATTCAAATAAGAGCTAAGGAGAACCAGTTGAGGTTAGGTTAGGTTAGTTTGAGGTTAGGTTGAATGTAAAACCAACTTAAGCAAGGCTTCAACAGCGCTTTTTACATATGTATGTATGTATTTGATTTGATTTACATATTCATTTATTTTTCAATGCAATTGCGTTCAGCAGTAGATTAATTTAAATGTGCTGCCAAAGTAATCAATCTGTAGTTAACCTCTAGCTCTCCATTTCAACTGGGCGATAACGGTGTCTGACACACATATGTACATGTGTACATCAGTACACACACACACACACATGCATACATATGCGTGAATGATACAGTAAACAGTTGTTTATGCGAAATAGCCGTACTTAAGCGCCTGACCCCCACAAAGTATTTGCAAGCTAATGACATTTAAGCTAAAGATTCGATCAATTTTCATAGTTGTTCTTTGCGTCTCTCACTCGCTCTTTCCCTCTCTCTTTCTCTCTCTCTCGTAGTCATCTCTGTCAGTGCCTGTCCCTGAAGGCGCCCAACGAGCCGCGGCGACCCCACCGCAAGAAATAACAGACAAACGCACACATACGCATGCGTGCATACATGCAAACCTAGACATTCTTATATACATACATATACATTTATGTATGTACTTTGGCACTCAATTGAGCGGCCATTAGCAAGGCAACAACAACAACAGCAACAAATATGATCATGAAGCGCATATGAAGACAATTTTTAAGATTACAACAACAGCGCCAGGCAATGACAATAGAATATGAAGTGGATGGCAGGCAGGAGAGCAGCAGAGCAGAAGAGCAGGAGAGCAGGCCAGCTCCTCGCTCAATAAGCGCGGCATGAGTGCGGCCGCGTGTGTCCGAGCGAGAGGGCAGCTGGAGCTCATACATATCTGTTGTTGTTGTTGTTGTTGTTTTTGTTGCTGCTGCTGGTGTGGGAGATAGCGAACGATGAGCGACGACATCGCACGAGTGCACACACTCGACGACTGACAGACAGACGCAGAGACGTTCACAGTATTGATACACACACACACACACACACACGCACGCACACAACAGCAGTAGCTCATACATATGTATTTATTTATTTCGCTCAGCTCGTTTGCCTGTTCGTTTATTATTATTATTTTTTTTTTTTACAACTCGAACAACGATAATAATAATAATAATAAGCAACAGCAGCAAACGTCAGTAGCTGGCACGCAAATAATTTATTTATAATTTGTATATCTGTTAACTTGCATTCAAACACAAACACACAACACCAAGCACACACACACACAAACACGTATATGTGTGAGCAGACACAAAGCTTGCACATTCGGCAGCTTGCATATGGCGGCAACTTTGGCAACATGTTGCTGTGCATGGAATCTGTTGTGTGTGTGGGTGAGACCAACTCCAGCACACACACACACACACACACACACACACAGATGTTGGACTGAGGCCTGGACCTGCATATTAATCGAACTGTTTTCAATCGCAGCGCATAAAATAAATTGACGTTCCAGGCTGAAGTTGCCCTTCTCTTCCTCTTATTCCCTTGCGCTGCTGTTGTTGCTTCTTCTGCTTAGGTAGGTAGTCGCCACACTACAGCAATGGCGACGATGTCGGGACATGCACACACGCACACAGCCACACACATAAATACATATTTAGTTTTATTCACGTTTGTATGTTTGTGTAAACATGCATGCATATGTATGTATGTATGTATATGTGCATGCATGCCTACAATGCAGCGGCCGCGACGGCGTTTGTTATCGCCTTGGCAGGAAATGGAATTATATTCGTAAAAAGTGGTCGCTGCCTGGACGGACGGACGGACGGACGGACGGACGGACGGACGGACGGACGGACTGACTGACTAACTGACTGTCCCGTTCCATTTCATTTCGTTCCGTCCCTGCTTGCCCCTTGGCCTTGCCGTCAACGTACATATATGTATGTGTCTAAATATGTGTGGGTCTCTGTGAAGCTGAAACGTAATATGATTACGAAGCGCTGAGGATTTGATATAACAAACTAAGCATTTTGCTTTTGGGCGCAAGCCGCAGCAGCAGCAGCAACAAATTAACCAGCCAAGCAGGCAAGCAACAACAACCATAAAGAGAGCTGTGCATATAAATTTCATAATAAAAGTAACGAAACAACAACAACAACAACAGTAACAACAACAGTAACAGCTACTACGAGACAACGACGACGAAATCAAAAGTTATGCGAAAAAGTGAATTTCAGTTGAACAGCAGCTTCATCCACCTGACAACAACAACAAAAAGTGAACGCATTTTGCCCGCACACACACACAAACACACTCACTCAAAAAGACACACAACATGCAAAGCAGTAGAAGCAGCTGAGCAGTAAAAATGCTGGCAAGAGTCGAGTATGCCCAACTTATAGATGCCCTGTAGCCGGCGAGAAGCGACATAGAAATTTTGTACTTCAGTTCTTGTAAACTTCGATATAAAGAAAAAATAAACAAAGCGCAAATCTATATTGATTTGGCCAATCAAGACTTTATATACATTTGTTAATCCATTCCCCATTAATAATTCAATATACCCTTTAACACATTTTAGCTGCATAAAAACTTGATAAAACGTGTTTGCTGCCGCTCAAGTGCATATCTTAACGGACAAACTTGTCGCCTGGGCCACAGAAGCAGCGACCGCAAGAAAAATAAAAGCACAACAAGCGCTAGCAGCAGCGACGGCGGCAGCGACGGCGGCAGCGCTGATCGCTTGTTGCAGCAGTTTCAGTTTCAGTTAGGTATGCATTCATCTACATGTATATGTGTGTGTGCCTCTGTGTTGTGTTGTGTTGTGTGAGAGTGTATGTGTGCGCTGCGCCCTTTCGCTTTCGGCAGCAATTTGTTGCTATTGCCTTTGCCTACTGCTGGCTGCTGCCGTTGCAGTTGTCGAAAAACAAAAACAAAACAAAAAAAACTGCTGCGTAATGCCAGGCGATTGCGATTATGAAAAACCAAATAAATTTCCACTGGAATTGCAATAATAATCGCTGGCAATCGCCGCGAATAGCGCTCAATAATCGATAACACAACAAATACAAATACTTTTGCGTGCCGAGGCAAAGTTCAGGCAATCAAAAAGAAAACATACGAAAAAACAGAAAACAAAAAAAGAAGAAAAAAATAAAACAAAAGCTTTGCAACTTTTATCGGACATCAACCTGTGACAAATGTCTGTACGCCTCTGTACGTGTGTGTGTGTGTGTGTGTGTGTGTTGGTGAGTTGTTTATTGTTGCTGCTCGTTGTATATAGTTGGGTTCTACTTGACCCGTCCGGCATTGCACTCGGGTTTTTATTTGATTTTTTTTCCTCTTTTCATTTCTGTACGCAACAAAACAAAAGCTACTTTGGCGCAGCGCCCCCCCCCCCTCCACCCCCTTCCAGTTCACCGTGTTAATGGCATCAACTTTGCACGTAACCGCAATCGAGAGTCGCGGCAAATAACTTTAAACTTGAAGCTCTTGTTGGCGTTTGTTTTTTTTGTTTTGTTTTTTTTTTGTTTTGTTTTCAGCTCAGCCTCTCCGCATTGAAAGCAAAAGGCAAAAATCACTAAACGAAAATCCAAACCCGGAACTTACGGACCTAATCGAATTTGTTGTCGATCAGCGGCCCGCAGCAACAATAATAACAACAGCTGCGGCGGGCCGCTGCTGGCGTTGGCGTTGGCGTTGACGTCGACGTCGCAGCAGAAACTTAAATACATATGATCATGAGCTTTTGTTAACGATGCTGCCTGGTGACGACAATACGAACTGTTTTACAGTTACAGGACTGGAAGACTGGAAGGCTGCCACCTGCTAACGTATCACGACGTAGGTGGCTGCTGCTGCTGCTGCGCTGCCGCCTTATCGGGTAGTTTTTTTTTTCTTTTTGTTTTTCATATTTATTTGATGTGGCCTGTAAAATTTCTGAGTGTTTACCAGCCAAAATAATTATGAATCAACGTTTAATAAAAATATTTAAAAAGACAAATAAAAGTGTAAAAAAAAAAAGTGTAACCAAACGGAAATGAAATACAAATACATATACGCATATATGTATGTGTATGCATGCACATGCAAAAACTAAAAAAAAAAAAAAAAAAACTCCAATTGAGCAAAATTGAGTTTTGCTTCATTTAGTTGTTTTGAGTGTAGATCCTGAGCACATTGTGGAGACTTACCGATTGGAATATGTCATCGCATTCGAAATAGTGTGTATTGCCAACGATATTTGCAGTTCCAGTTGATTTTTGTACAATTGTCGCCGACATTTTTGTTGCCGTTGTTTACTGTTGTTCTGCTCCGTACTGCACTCTCTTTCCCGCTCTACACTTCTCTGCTTCTTCTCAGCGCGGGCTCTCGTATTTCACTGGACAGTGCAAAAACAAATTCTTTATCTTTGCTTCTATTTCGTCGACTTCTTCTTCTTCTTCTTCTTGCTGTTGTTGTTATTATTATTTGCTGGACGTTTTGGTGTTGTTTTTAATTTTTAATTCTTATTTTTTGCTGACTGTTGGTTGAAAATTTAATTGCGTTGAATTTTGATGTATTGTTAAAAATTTTGTTTGGATTTATATTTGCACTAGTTGAACGATTGTTGTTGCTGTTGTTATGACTTCTTGACAATTTCGATATTTGCTAGTTAAATTGTAGTTCGTTTTTGTTGTTGTTGGTATTGTTATTGCGTTGCGCGTGTTGCATTTCAATCAACAGGCTGGAAGGAGAGACGAAACAAAGATAACAAGAACGATAGCGTTAGAAAAAATTCTACACTCCGAATTGTGTGTGTGCGACTCGCGGGCCAGGCAGAGGCAACAGGCAGGCAGCAGGCAGAATCACACAGCTACACGTGCGCTGCGTGAATGTGTGTGATCGTGCGTGTGTATGTGCATGTGCATGTGCATGTGTGTGTGTGTGTGTATGTTTTTACAAACGTACTCGAATTTGAGCCGCGGCTCTCAAAAAAAAAAAAAAAAAAAAAAAGGATTTTCACGCACATGTGTTAAGCATTAAACAAGAGCAAAAGCGACCAAGAGAGACTTGAATATTCGACGCATTTACTTTGTCCCTTCTTATATATATATACATGTTGTTTTTTTTTTTTTAGTTCCAAAACAGCCGATTGCTGTTGTTGTTTGCTTTGCTTTTATCGTCTTCGTTTTCGTTCTCGCAGCAGCAGCAAGAGATAAGCTTGTCGTCGTCGTCGTCGTTGCCCGATCGTGTTCTTTACACACACACACACACACACACACGCGACGCAAGTGTGTTTGCGGGTGTATGTGTGCTAGTGGTGGTCGTATTTCAGCTCAAATCACATGCTGTTGCTGTTGGTGCATGTGTGTGTGTGTGTACGTGTTTGTGTAATTTTGTAGCTGCGCAAGCAGAACAAGCGCAGGCAGACTTTGTTATTGCCGTCGATTTTATTTCAATTTTTATGCATGTCCTCTTCGGCTTGTTTTTTTACACACACACACACACACACACACACAGATGCATACACACTTAGGATGGAGAGCTGCGGGATTTCAGTTAAGCCTTACCGATTCGAATCGTTCCTCGTGTACTTGTATTTGTGCGCGCTTATTTGAAAAAAGTTGCGTTTGGCGAGGTTTCACAAACATTTAACGCTTCAAAATTCCCGCGCTTGTGCCAAGTAAAAAACACGCGCACTCTTCACACATGCACACACACACATACATCAATTCAATGTTCGATTGCAGGGGCAAGACCAACAAAAACAAAAACAAAACGGAAAAAAAAATATTATAAAAATTATAAGGCAATTTGCAACCGAAATTGCATAGCTATATGTATGCTGTGTGTTAACTGTTTTTTTTATATTTTTTTTATTTTCAAAAATTAAAAAAAATTTCAATAACAAACTCGTTGCCGCCTACTTTGATCGAGCAAAATTTTAAAATTATCAAAAAAATACGTATATATATATATGATTGATGATCACAACACAATCGCACACTTGTGGCTTACTTTGCTGCTGATCCCGTTGCCGAGTGCACACAAATTAACTTAAATACGAGTGTTGCAAATATCCTGGCACGTTTCGCACCTTTTGTTTTTATGCAGCAAACAAAAAACACGTCCGCTCTCAATAATGAATGTTACAAATATGAACTGTTATCCCACTGTAGTGGTGATAGACCATCGATGGCAGCATCAACAATATCGATAATAACAGCGATCCTATGCGGTTCTATCGAATCGCTCGCTGTTATGCTCGATGTACACTGTTATGACTGCTGTTAAACTCAAATTGGACATGTTACTACATCTGCAAGGCTTCAATTGATCAGCATTTTTAATTTATAAATATGGTTCTGTTGATCTGATTTTTAAATACGTGTTACAATTGAATAAATTTAAGTGCCATGGAGTTTGTTTATTTAGCTTTTATAAATTGGAAAACTCGTATGCCCAAGAGGTGCAGTGTCCGTTAACTGCTTAGTAATTTAAGCTAACATTATATTACTCAAAATGGCTCTGTTAAGCCACCAAATAAAATAAAATAACAGCGCGCGATTTGAAAACATATTTTTATTCTTTTACTAACCTTGCTGTTTGTTTTTTTTTTTAGGAGCGTCAATTGCACTAACAACCTGTTGTGTTGGCATTGATGAACTGAACAAATAATTGCGGCACCTGCTCCAGCGGCGCCGGCGTCGTCTGGCTGGCCCGGCAGGTGCTCGTGATAAACTTTTGCCTCAAGCGATTCAGCTGCATGGGATTCATAGATGTGGCTACTTTGACCTTCGTCGTGCTGCCCTTGATGCGCAGCTGTCCGAAGGCGCCAATTTTGGCAGCGCCCAGTATCTCCTTAATGATATCCTGCATGATAACGTCCAGCTCGAAGAGGTAATTCGTAGCACCCAAAGGCGGCTGCAAGAGAACAGAAATGTGAGCCAAATCGAAAAAATGACTTTTTTGGGGTACATGTGCTCACGTTCTGTGTGCTCTGGTTGGGCGGCAAGGGTTGCGTCTCAAATAGCGACTTATAGATGCCCTCCAAATCGATGTTGTCCTCGGGCAGTGCCACAAACAAGGGGCTGTCCCAGCGGCTATTACTGTGCGGCTCCTCATAGCGCATGCACAGCGCATCGAAAATCTCGCGGGTGTAGGGCACATTTGAGTTGTTCAGCGGCTGTTCACTTGATGCCGGATCCAATCTATCCGGCTCGCTGCGCTGCGTATTGAATGCCCAGGCCTGCTCCTGCGGTATGCATGTGAACACCGTGCATTGTGTGGTCCGCGCCGCCTTGGTCATGCAGAAGAGCTCGTAGCGAAAGCCTGCAGTGCTTGAGATCAATGAATGACTAGTTTTAAGTGATATTAATGCTTGGACCTACCTTTGATATAGTTGCCCGCATCGAGTATGATCACATCCTGCTTGTTTAGTTGCCGGGATGCCTCCGACTTGAGATCGCTGCGCACAACCTTCTCCTTTTGCGAGTCGCCAAAGAAGGCGTTCTTCTCGAACAGCGCCTTGGGCACGGCGACATTTTCGCTGATTAGATGCACCTTTTTGCCCCTGCCCGCAAAGTATTCCTGCAGCTGATGGGCTCGTGTTGACTTGCCGCTCGCCGGCAGGCCAGAAATAACAATAATTGGCATTGTAGACGGATTATTTGTATTGCATTTTTTTTTTTTACACAAGTGCTCGAGCGTGTTATGGCCAGTGTTGTGTAATGCTTGCACGATGAGTACTCAGTTAACATCGATAGAGCGCATTTATTATTTGATTTATATCGATATTTTTGTTTGTTTTGCATATAACGTGTTTTTGTTCTGAACAGAAACTAATTTTTCCCTATTAATTGGATATTATATTATGTCACGGTATGTTTTTAGGAATATAAGAAGTCGAGTCGCTTTTATTCAAACTATTTCGTTCAGTTTAAAAGCTAAATTAATAAAATTTCGCAAAGATGGGATTTTCACTGCAGAAAGAGAATGTGTAGGATTACATCATAGAAGTGAATGTTCCATAGGAACAATGAGTCAAAAATTGAGTGTTAGTATGAAAAAATATGTTTTGAAATTCAAGATATCTTAACTAAATTTGGCATTTGACTGCGAAACAAAGTCTAATCAACATCAGACCACTATTAAATATAACTGAAAATGTTTTATCTTCATTAACCCGAAGGTCCTTTTTTTTCAATTTTTCATGGCAACACTTTATAAATCGATTTTTTTTTTAAATTATTCCAAGCGACGATTAACAATCGATTATTCTTATCGTTCGTCAAATAGATTTTCAGTGTTGCTAAATTCTGGGCAAAAGTAGACTTAAAACAATTGCCGCCATCTGGCAACACGCACAATTCACAACCAGCTTCAGCTGGTGCCCAAAATTCCATTGCTGCACTGCATCCATCACCTGCTCCACTGTTCGCTGCACTGTGTCTGGCCTGGCCATGGCAGAGAACCGCCGACGTTTTCGCAATAAAAAGCGGGTGAGTGAACAATCGGATTTATAAGCTGTTGACGGTAAATGCTTGACCAGCTATTGTTTAGGATGATGGACGTCCGGGTCCATCGCCGACAACGCCCGTGACGATTGCGAGGCGCGAAGAGTCACGCACGCCCGTCGTCCAGCCAAAGATATTGCTGAAAAAGGAGGCCGAATCGAATGCCGGCAGCGGCAGCAGCGGTAGCAACAATGAGCTTCCCACATCCATTAAAACCATCATCATCAATCGCAGCGATGCGCGGCACAGCAGCGACCGTACCGCCTTCCCGGCCGCCAGCACCATGACCACATCCAGCGTATGCGCGGCGCTGGCCAGCTCAACTTGTGCCGCCGCCGCCGCCGTCGCCGGCAAGGAGAAGACAAATGGCACTGGCGCCACCAGCAGCAGCAGCAGCAGCATCATCACGCTGACGGGCCAGCCAGAGTCGCTGGCGCCGCCGCGCATGACACGGCCGACGCCGCTGCTGGTGGCCAACGGCGTATTCAATGCGAATGCACGCAAACTCTTCCACAAGAGCAACACGGACTTTGCGGTAATCGGCGTGTTGGGCGCCCAGAGTGTCGGCAAATCCACGCTGCTCAATCTGCTGGCGGCGGAGCGCTCCAGCGACTATGACTACTATCAGCATCTGTTTGCGCCGGAGGCGGACGAGTGCACGTTTGCGACCAGGCATCGCGCCAAGCCGCAGCAGGCGCTGCAGGTGCTCCGTCCGCGCACCGAAACGTTGCAGTTCTTTATTACCCGTGAGCGTTATGTGCTGCTGGACACGGCGCCCATGCTGAGCGGCAGCACGGCCAAGGAGGCGGACTATTTGGATCTGCAAACGTTGTCCACCATGATGCAGCTGCTCAGCGTTTGTCATGTACTGCTGCTGGCACTGGATGAGTCAGTCGGTCTGGAGCAGCTGCGTCTGCTGCATGCCGCACTGCGTCTGCGTCCGCGCGCACCCTGCAAGGGCTATGTGCGCGACTATCTGCCGCAGCTGTTGTTTGTGCGCACGCGCGCCCAGCGTCCGGATTACGAGCCCGCCAGCCGTGAGCGTCTGGACAGGCAGCTGGAGCTGCTGTTCGAGGGCACCGGCCTGCCCATCTATCGGGGACGCGGCGAGTCGCGCATTCTCAACAGCATCCAGCTGCCGGAGCTGTATAGCAATGCGGCTGTCGCACATCATGCCAGTGCCGCGGAGCTGGTGCGTCAGTTTCGGGAGCGTGTCTTCGGCATGGTGCGCATCTCCATGTGCCAGAGCAACGACTTCAGCGAGACGCTCTGGTTCGAGCTGCTCGCGGAGACGACACGCAAATGCGCCGCAAGCAGCCAGAACTTTGAGCAGATCTATGCGGAGATCAAGCTGCGGCATCTCGAGCTGCGCCCCAAATGGCGACCCGACTCCAACTGGCGCAACGAGTCGTGAGACGAGTCGCCCCCCCAACATGCATTCGAGCAGGACAGCTGTATAGACTTATAGACATAGACATAGATATTATATCGTGTGTATATATATTATACTATACTTTTTATATATGTATATGTTAAGGCCTTAACACTATTATTGGATGATGGGTGTACGGACAAGGGGGACTCTATTGTGCGGCCTTTATGGGGTATAACGACGAAGAAGACATTTTCCAATATATATTCTCTGGACACGAGTATTTATGGAACCTTGCATAGATCCTTTCCAGATCGGTTCAATAAATATATATATAATATATTGTAGGAAAAACGTTTATCTATATATCTTGACCAAAATTTGTGGGGTTTACGAACCAACTTTTAGCTACCAACTTCTCCATAACAAGCTCAACTAGAAATCTTTCTAATAACTTAATGTGAGGATCTTAGTTCAGAGAATCTTACAGATCGGCGGGGTTTTATATAGCTTCTAGTTTTATTTGCCAGATCGGTTTTTGAAAGTACGCAATCCGTTGCGAATCGATATTTATCGTTAAGTGTATATCAAATCGAAGGATATATAGTTATCGATTTGATGATGTTCCTGGATCTCAAAATGTCGATAAATATCGACAATTCGATATGTCGCTGGCTCGTTTAAACTGAGGCATAAGTTGAAAAACAAATCCGATATTTATCGAGCGTATAAAGTTTGGAATTTGGTAACGATAATTATCGAAGTGCAAAAAGCCGAATGAATCAATTTAGACTGCATTTTTTAGAGTTGGGCTGTTTTACTTTTCTAGCTCGAGACTTTATGGAGACGAATGCAGCAGGGAAACAGCTTGTCGTTCTTTTCGAGAATCTATATATACATATATATATACTATAAATGTGCACTATATTTACTGTATCTATTATATATAGAAGCAAGCTTTTGGTTGTGGGAAGGGTGGACAGTTTAAGGTCTACATTTTGGTCCTGCATTTGAAATTCGTTTGGTTTATTTAACTACTTTGTGTCGTCGTGTATATCTAGATATATATGTATGTATATATATTTGTGCTAGCAGGAGCGGTGGGTGGGGCTGGTGTTGTTGTTGTTGTTGTTGTTGTTTTATGGTCAAGATGTGTGTGTGGTTTTGTGTGTGCGATATCACGTTTGATTTGCCTCAGTCTCAAAATCGAGATCATTATCGTCGTTGCTTTGGTTCACAATTAAGTCTGGCGGCTCGTTATTTGGACGCTGATCCTCCTGCTGCTGCTGCTGCTGCCTCTGGTTCTGCTGGTCGTAGTTGTTGGGCGGCTTGCGGCATATCCAGAAGAGGCTCTGATATTCGCTTTGCTTCATCGATAGCGGATTCTGTGCATATTTGGTGCGTATGCCGCTCCTCGAGCTCAATATATCGAAGCCGACGCTCTCCATTATGATAATCAGATCCTCGTACGTTGGCTCAATGCTGTTCTGGCCATTGATGTCGCTATAGTGATACAGCAGCGGTCCGAGATTCACCCAAATGCCGCCGGGCACTAGAATTCTGCAAAGCAAAAAAAGGCACAAGTTAATACCAAGCTCGAGCAACTGCATCCGCCTGACTCACTTGTAAATGGTGCGTATAAAATCAATCACATTGTTGGCACAATCGATAAAGAAACATGTGGCGACACAGTTGTAGGCGTCCGGCGTTTTGTAGACCTCCAGAAAATCACCAGCGGCCATCTCAATGTTGCCCTTGGGCGGATTCCTAACCGGACAGACATCGGGAAAATGGACAGAGGCGACCTGATCGGCACGTCGCATATTATTGACATACTGATGCACCCAGGGATAGAGAACATGCTTGTTCTCATAGTCGCACAGATTGAGCACGAAATTCGAGGCGATTAGCATAAAGTAGGAGAACTCGTTGCCCTCGCAGGCATAACCGCGACAGGCCAGCTCGTAGGTGAGCCTGCCCAGGCCAGCGCCAGGCACCAGTATCTTAATCTCGTTCAGTGCGCTGCAATCAATCAATTGTTAGTTCAGTTTAACATATAAGTATATATGTATGTATCGATTGATACTCACTAGTCGCTCGGCTTGTAATACTCCTCGATGCTGTCGATAATGGGCTTGTAGGACTGTTCGCGTTCCATGGCGCATTCGGCGCTCCAGTCCCGTGCGATCAGTTTCAGTGTGGACTGAGCCTTTAAAATTTTTAGAGGTTCAACATCATCAGCAATTACATCACCATCATCATCATGTGCATCAACAAGAAAATTAGTCTAAGATAGAGATTTGTTGTTTACCATTTTACCACCAAAAGAAACCAATGAATGAATTCGCAACATGAAAGCTACAGTGGACAAAAAAGAACGAACTATCCAGCTAACATACATATATGTCCATATATATGTATATACAACTATCAGATATTTCTTTCTATCACTCTTGCTGATATTTCTATATACAAAACTTTTTGTCCTAACTCATTGTATGAGCTAAAGAGCTGAAATTTTCACTGTAGTTACCTTTTGTGTTGAAGGTGCACGTGAAGACGCGGCTGCGGGAAATTCCACTCGCATGTGTGGAAAAATCGCGAAAAACTTTTGTATGCAACTTTTTTATTTAGCATCCGATCGGCCTAAAACTCATTTGTTTTGTATATATGCAAACATTAATGCATGCGTACACGTATGAATACATACATACACACATATGCACATACATACATACACACATATGCACATACATACATACACACATATCTACATACATACATACATACATACATGCATACACACATATCTACATACATACATACATACATACGCACATACATACATACATACTAATGTAAATACATACTTATGTACATACATACATACACACATATGTACATACATACATACATATGCACATACATACATACACACATATGTACATACATGCATACATACGCACATACATACTAATTTACATACATATACTAATGTACATACATACTTATGTACATACATACATACACACATATGTACATACATACATACATACATACATACTTATGTATGCACATACATACTTATGTACATACTTATGCACATACATTCATACACACATACATTCATACATACTTTGTACACAAAAAAAACAACAAAAACAAAGCACTACACTACCGGCCAAGCATGAAAAACTGCAGAGCCTACTTGAATTCTTGAGAATCGAGGAGGAGAGCACTTGATAGAAAATCGTTTTATTTAAATTTACAGCATAGCGACAAATAAGCTTGGTCTGCGTTTGGTCTTAGAAAACAAAGACGCATGCATACATATATACATAAATACATAGATACATGCATGCATACACTAACACACACACGCACACACACACATACATACATACAATAGGTAATTGGCAGACTTGGTGAGATGAATCGAACGGGAATTTCCTTGCATTATATATGACTATATTATTGTTATCTAGATACGATTATCTAGCTTTAATTTCTATAGCTACATAATTCAGGATTGACATGGACATCAGTTATCTTAGATGATCAAATATCTATATAATAGCTATGATATACCCTACATACCCTGTACAAAGAGAAAGTTATGCTATACCAATTTGAATGTCCGTAGCTAAGGTTGGCTCAAAAAAGTGAGGTTAAAAAACGATATTTAGCAATTACTCTTGAGAGCAACAATATAATCTGCTTAATGATAAAATAAAAGAAATGTGAATAGATAGATGGGTTGGATCGGCTAAGATCGTCGTCCTATTCAAGAGTATGTATACGAATATGGGAATTTATATTCCCTTAGAGGAAAAGTTAGGTTAGGTATGCCTTGGCTAACGGTATCTAAACCCAACGACAGCTTTCACGTTTGTTTTTTTGTCCACTGAGCGCAGTAAAATGGAAAAGGGAATATACATGTATGAGAAATGGCTGCAGTGGCTGTTCCCACTCACTTGATCCATGTCGCCGTGTCGCACATGGTCGGGCGCCTCCTCCAGCTCGATGTCGGTGTCGCCATCGCCAGTGGGATAGAGGACACGATCGCGCAAAATCTCTCGGATCACAGACTGATTGCCGTCAATGCAGTTGCGCACGTTATCCAAATGCTTGCGATATTTGGAGAGCAGACGCTGATCTTCAGCGGACAAACTGTTAAGGTAACCCTCCGTTTTGTTAACCCTTACGTAGGCATACCGTCTGTTTTGGGGCAGAATTAACGATTAGAGCAAGTGTCCTACATATACATGCATAGAAACACGCATACACGCACACAGGCGCACAGGCGCACAGGCACACATGTGCACATGTTAAGCCGCTTAAATTGATTTTCGTTATCAGCTGTTGAACATGCACATGCATACACATACGTACACATGTGTGCATATGTGTTTGTGTGTGCAGTGGGGGGTAATTTGCATCAGCGCGTTTGGCTTAAATACCGTTTGTTTACAATTCCATGCACCCACCTGTAGTACTGAAAGGCATTCTGAACTTTCTGTATATGCCGGCGCTCCTCTTCATCCTCTTTGGCCGTAAATGCTGGCGCCTGATCCCCATGCATTTTGGGATGCATGGGAAATGGCAACGATGACACCATGTCACTCATGTCCACAAAAATGTTAAATGTACTACCTAATAGACGACTAAAAACCTAATAACTTTTTAACTCAATTAATCGATACTGCTCGGTCAAGTATCGGCAGCCAGTGTTACTTACGCGATTTGCGAAAAAATATCGTTTCGTTACATCGCAATAAAGTTATCGATACTGCTCATCGAACAATCGGCAGCTTCTTTAAATCGTTGAGGTTGAGGTAAAATTGATTACAATTAAATAAACACTTATACATGTCTTTAGATTAAAGAAAAACTGCCACATTTGGAAGCCATGTAACCGAATCAGCAAAAGCTGACCAGCTTTAATTTAATAGAGTGGTCGTTAGTCATGCATATTATATATTTATTAAGTGCATTACACGTACGTAACAAAATGTTTTGCAATTAACTCTTAAAGCTTACACAGAATAAACAATTTTCAACCTTTTTGGATTAAACGCAACGCTCAGGCGTGTCAACACAATAGCATCAACGAAGGAGTTTCGTATAATTATAAAATATGTATATATATGTATATATAAGCATTTGTACAAGCATTTGTCAAGTGTCATTGGGTTCAGATGATGCCATTTGTTGAGACGCATTGGCTGGGCTAAGTATATATATGTGTGTGTTTGTGTGTGTGTGTGTATGTACATACTTGTAGTATAATATAGTGTAATTATAGTTAGTGCTTAGAATTAAATTTTATCGCTGCTGGGCATATGTGTGTAAAACAATTGTACAGTGTTCGCTTGTACAAATTTAAGTAAATAACAGCGCATTTGACCACAGGAGTATTTCGAGTTGCGACATATAAAAAAAATAGACCGCGTCCAAAATGTCTAAATTGAGGGGGGAAGGAGGGAGGGAGGGAATCTCACGCACATTCAGCCTTCAGCCGGTGGCGGCTGCTCAGCCTCAACGGCCAGCTCTACGAGCGGCCTTTCAGCCTCGCGTTCCTCGCGTTGCACCTCCGGCGGAGACTGCGGCCTTGGGGACAGTTGCTGCTGCTGCTGCTGCTGCTGCTGCTGGTCTGGCAACGGCACAGGGGAACGGTTGGGCGTCGGTGGCGTCGATGATTGTGTTGACGAGGCTGAGCCAGCTGCCGATGTAGACCGATTCTCGAGCGGCTCACGAGGCAAATCCGCATCATTGGAGACGTTCGCTGCGGCTACTGTTGAGTTGCGTGACCAGCGCAAGCCTGCGGCGGGGAATACGACCTGCGACAAGGAAAGTGCAGCAGCGGCGCGCGAAGTAGAAGCAATCTCATCCGCCAGCTCCAATGATTGTTCGCGCTCTCGCTCCTTTTTTTGCTCGGCGATCTTCTTGAGATAGTTCTCGTCCTGTGTGGGGCATTCTAGATGAACGCAGTGGAATATCTGTGGAATAGGCCGTAGAGCTAATGAGTATTGGCTGCAAGCTTTTGGAAACTATTTTGAACCCACCTCATTTGCGGTATTGCGTGTGCCCACAATGCGTATAAAGACAATGGGACGTGGTGTAAAATGAAAATTTTGCCAGGAGCGCGCCTTTTCGTTGCGCTTATCGACAACCATTTGCCAATTCTTGCGATTTGTCGAGGTCTCTATATAGAAGCTATAAGTGCGATCATCGCAGTCCCACAGCAGCAGACGCATTGAGCCCACATAATAGGGCTGACCCAGACGGACAACGATCTCGCCGCTGCCTAGCTGATGGCACGTATAGCCCGAATCCCAGTCGTAGCGCGAAAAATCGCCATTGATAAGAGCATTACGTGTCCGACTGACGCCATCGGTGACAATGGCGCTCATCTCAATGGTGGCCACGTTCGCAACGGGCGCAACAAATCCATCTATGATTTTAGGTGAATTCGATGTGTGCATGGCCTCCAGGCCAACCACATGGAAAACCTAAAGGCAGAGATTCAAATTAAACAAAATCTTTTCAAGAGCTAAACACCAACGGCAACTACTCTCACCCGATTGACCGTATTCTGTGTGCCCACGAGCCGTATATAGCGCACGGGACGCGCCTCAAAGTACAAAAACTGCCAGGAACGGCAGTGGTATTCACTGTAATCAATAACACGCTCCCAATGCTGCTGATTGCCGGAGACCTCAACGAAATATGAGTAGGCCCGACTGTCGCGATCCCAGAGCAGCATACGTATATGATTGACCATGCACATGGTGCCCAATTCAACAACAATGCCGGCATCATTGCTATCTGTGATGCAGTGACGCGTGTAGCCATGCTCCATATCGTAGGAGGTAACATCTCCGTCCAGCAAAGCCGAACGACATTCACCCTGAATACAACGCGATAAATATTTGGCTGTGGCCACATTCTCCTCCGGCCAGAGTGCGGCACGATAGGGCAGAGTCTTCGATGTGCTCCGCTCATCGATGGCGTCCAGAATTTTATCCGGCTCCAATATGCCAGATGGGCGGACCACTTGCAGCAAATGCTCGAGATTCATGAGCGGCAGACGTACAAAGGAGACAACGGTTTTGATATCAATATCGGGATTATAACGGCTCCATTTCCAGACTGCCAGGAAGATTTGCACCTCCGGCGCAAAGAAGCAGTCGCGGCGCAGCACCTCCTCCAGCGACTCCTAAAATGCAAATACCAGTTACTAAATTCTGTTACTCCCACGACTCACGACAGACTCACCTTTGAAAGCATTTTGAAGGAATCATGCTGCAGCAAGTCGGCGGCATTGCGATCCATAAACATGTGACAGACCTGGGTCAGCTCCTCGAGATTGTAGAGCCGTGCAGCATCCAGTATCATGCAGACATTGTTCAATGCCAGATATTGACGCAAATATTTGGATATGGCCATTTCCAGATCCCCGAAGCCATACTGATTGGCCATGCCCAGCACACCGATGACAGCGTCCTCATCCAGCGAAGCCAACGACAGGGTGCCCGAGTATATGTAGCGTAGCAGCACCTTGAACGAATCTAGCGGTACTTCCAGTGAGATTTCACGTTGTGTTGCCTCCGACATGCCGCCATAGAGCAGGGCACGAAAATATTCGCTGCGTGCGGCCAAAATGGCGCGATGTGCCGGCAGCCGTTGCTCCTCGACAATAAATTCGACATCCGCATAGCGTTCGTTCATGCAGAGACGTGCAATGTCCGCGGAGAAGCGATCGCCCAGATCAATCTCGTCCGTGGCATCCGTGTTATTTTTGCCATTGGCCAGTGTTGCCAGACCGCCGCCACGTCCGCCTTGCATCTTGTGGTGTCCCTGACTGCTCATTGTTGTATAACTTAATCAATTTTGCGTGTCTGCATAAATATTTGTTGAAGCTTCTTATTTTTTTTTTAAAAATTTTTTTTTTTTTAGATTTTTTTGTTTTTTTCTTCTTTTTTTTTTGGTTTTTTTTTTTTTTAACAAATAGAACAGAAAAACAACTAACAAACACGAAGAATTTATAGAAACTGAATTAATACGTTCAAGCGAAATGGCAACTGTGCGCCGGTTATACCTACTTTGTTTTTTGTTTACGCAAAGGCTTGCTATGTCCGCCTTAAACTTTATTCCTTTTTTTTTGTGTGTGTATTTGTTTAATTTTTGTGTTTTTGTGTGTGTACCCGTTGGGCACAGTGAATTATTTGGCCATCCGCGTAGTTTTTGGCGCTGGAATTTATTCGAGGTAGTCGTTCAGCTGGTAATTAAGTAAGTACGTATATGTATTGTATATTGGCTGTCTTTTTTTTTTTGTTATTGTTGTGTTAATGTACTAATGTTTTCTACTCGCAAGAATTAATAAGATAGAGATGGGTGTAGGCATTTTGATAACGTATCGATGTAAAACTATCGCAATGTTCGGAATCAAATTGCACGATATATAGTCCGAATCTACCGGCAATATCGATATCATGCGTACACACAATTAATTGCCATTTTACACTAAAAATTATAATGATTTACAGATATTATGGATGAAGTTGACTATTCAATTCCATATCAATATGCAGCTATGGTTTTCAATTTTTTTTTTTGGTACCTCGTAAGGCCGCTTGTCGATATTGATGCAGTGCGATAAGTGCTTATCGACAATCATCTCGCATCCCTAACTGACTCTTTTCGTGGTGCGGACGCAATCTGCAAACTCGTGGCGAATTTTTGTATTAAATTTTCGTTGTCCATTTGCATAGCAAAACAAGGTAAATTAACGCAAACGGTGCACCGTGACAGCAACAAATAGATATTCTCATTTTTCGTGTGTGAATTACAGATGCCGGGCGTTGAAACAATCAAATCAAGTTGGGCCGATGAGGTGGAGCTGGACTACGGCGGCCTGCCACCAACAACGGAGACCATTGAGAATGGCCACAAATATGTGACCGAGTACAAATACAACAAGGATGATAAGAAAACAAAAGTGGTGCGCACTTACAAAATATCCAAGCAAGTGGTGCCAAAAACTGTTGCCAAGCGCCGCACCTGGACCAAATTTGGTGATTCGAAGAACGATAAGCCCGGCCCCAATTCGCAGACCACAATGGTGTCCGAAGAGATCATAATGCAGTTCCTCAACTCTAAGGAGGATGAGAAGGCAAACGATCCGTTGCTGGATCCATCCAAGAACATCGCCAAATGCCGAATTTGCAACGGTGAACATTGGTCGGTCAATTGTCCCTACAAAGGTACCGCCATGGATACGAATCTTATGGAGAAGAAGGCCGCTGCTGCTGCCTCTGCGGCCGTCGATGCACCCAAATCCGGCAAATATGTACCGCCATTCCTCAAGGACAGCCAAAAGGGCGGCATGGGTATGCGTGGACGGGACGATACGGCCGCCATACGTATCTCCAACTTGTCGGAATCGATGACCGAAGCCGATCTGGAAGAGCTGGTGAAGAAGATTGGCCCACAGAGCAAGATGTACCTGGCCCGCGACAAGAACACCGGCCTCTGCAAGGGTTTCGCCTACGTACACTTCAAGCAGCGCAAGGATGCGGCAGCGGCCATCGAAATACTGAACGGTCATGGTTACGATCACTTGATCCTCAGTGTTGAATGGTCCAAGCCTCAGAACAATTAGGAAACGACTATGTGTGTGGGATCCTGTGGGTGTGTATGCAGTGTG